TCAATTTTATAAATATATATATATAAATTTAACAAGTTCATAATAATAATAATAATAAAGAACGAATTCATATATAGCAAATCAAAAGCAAAAACTTTCACACCTGAAAATACCCGTACGGATGGGAATGAAACGAAGAAAGCTTACATATTTACAGTAAACCCGTACGGATGGGAATGAAACGAAGAAAGCTTACCTTTGATTATAGACTCTACGCATATTAACATCAAACTCGATCTAAGCCGCTTGATCAAACGCCATCGTAAGTCTCTGTAGATCTTTACCGTACACGTCATCAGCAGAACCCTGCGGTGCAGCTTCTTGATGTTGGTTTCTTGTCCAGTTATACTGGGTTCTTGAACCATGACGATTTGTGATGTTATATGTCTGGTTTCACTTCCGCCATGAAAACGTCTTGTGAGCTTTGGTTTTGTGTTGTGTAATGGAGAAACTCTGCCGCCCAGTTCATGTCTTCCACCGGACTCATCTTTGTCACTGTGTTACCAAAGAAGCTACTGATGCTCCCGTTTCTCTGCGATTGAACAGAAGTAGAGTTCAGTTCCCAGTTGTTTGGAACACTGAAGTTCGGAATCGCCATGGAAGAAGGGCTTGAGCTTGAACTTGAACCAAAGCCAAAAAATGGGTTTGGAGCCATCATCGTTGAAAACCACCGTAGACCAGAGTGTGAGACCGTCGAGTTTTCATGTGGGTTCATCGAGAATGTTGACTTTACCGAGGTGTCTACGAGATTCGGTTGACTGGATAATGAAGATGGTCTGGATTCTGGCGATGTCTGCTTCCGTTGATCGGTGGAGACATCACATTGAAGCTCGTTTAGCGGTTTATTAACAATTTGGTCAGTGCCCTTATTTTGCCTTAGCTTCTTCTTAAGACAGGAGTTCCAGAAGTTCTTGATCTCGTTGTCCGTTCTTCCCGGCAATCTACTCGCTATCTGAGACCACCTGCGGTTTCGTTGATAAAATTATTTAGCAAAATTCATAATCCAATAAAGAAGGCAAATTCATTTTACCTATTCCCAAGCAAGGCATGGAGGTGAATGATCAAGTTCTGTTCTTCTTGAGAGAAAGCTCCTCTCTTCAAGTCCGGTCTCAAGTAGTTTATCCACCTTAGTCTACAGCTCTTTCCACATCTTCGTAAACCTGTTTCAAACACAAAAATTTCGGATGCAACTGTAAGATTTTATATGTTATATATATATATATATATATGTATGTATGTATTAGCAGTAAAACAAATGGGCATTGTTGAGACCAAACCTGCAAGTTTAGGGACAGAGCTCCAAGAGCCATGTCCATATTTTGCAATATGATTGAGAAGCTTCTCATCTTCTTCAGGAGACCAAAGGCCCTTCCTCAGTTTCTGCTTATAACAACAAGGATGCCTCCCCATATATATATGTGTGTATGTGTGTGTATTTGCGTTGACTTTCTCAATAACAAGATAAGCAAAAAGAAGCTTATTAAGCAGGGAAATTCAGATATGATCTTTCAGTATATGTCGCTCGCGGGGCTGAAGGGTAAGGAAAGGTAAGAGGAAGAGGAACTGTGGGGGAACGAAGGAAAAAGTCGGAGAGCTATGGAGAAATCGATATACGAGAGAGTATTTTGTGTGTGCGTGTGTGTGTGATTGTTGAATTTGTGGCGTTATCTCTTTTGTTTTATAATCTTTTCGTAAATTAAATTTAAATTGGTTGGACCCCTCTTTTGAGTTTTTCCATATGAGCATTAGAGGTTTTTTTTTTTTTTTTTTTTTTTTTTTTTTGGCCGGATATTGAAGAATTTATAAGATATATCGTACGATGAAAATCTTATCAAATACGAAAATATGTATTTAGAATTATTTATTATTATAATTAATTTAAAACTCTCATATAAATGTTATTTTGATTATAAATAAAAGATACTAAATTTTGCTGATCAGAACTAAGCAATTAAATTGGCATATATATATATATATAGAGATATATATATAGAGAGAGAGAGAGTGGTGAATATAAATTGTAACGTGTATAACGGATTTGAGTCTTTTCGAACGATGCATGCATGTGTATTTTACTATATGATGTAAAACAAGACAAAACTTAATATCGACCAATACATACATACATATATATATATGTATATATATCAATGTCTTGATGTCATGTTATTAATGAATTTGATTAATGTGGTTCGTTTGTAGCTCAAAAAAATTCATTAAAAATTGTTTTTAAAAGATCATTGGGTCTAAAATGCGCCATTCGCACACCTCGTCTGTTTTGCATTATGTACATCCACAGGCAAATGGTCCATATAAGACAATTCTAACTACTAAGTCCGTATATATAAATTTACATATATAGATACATATTCTAATCTGATCTCTAACCAAATAATCATCAAAATTCAATTATAAATACTACGGAGTGGTATAGGGAGAAAACGAGTCATATGAACAAGAAGAAGAATGGTTGCTACGATCGAAATAATCGAATTCGAATATAACCTAATCTGAACAGAAACCAAGATGTCCACCTTCGTTTAAACTAATTATGAAAAAGGGTTTTTGTCCCGTTTACAAGTAAAACATGATTAATGAACATAATATATATATTCATTAATCTTGTTCTGGTTTTCTTGTCTTAAACTTACTAACCCCATTGCTTTTCTTTTATGTCTTGATGATAGGTTTCGCTTTCCCCTTTTCCCATCCAATTTCATTATGCGCACGTGATATATTTGTCGACCCCTCATTGGCTCTCTATCATTTATTTATTTTTCGTCAATTTATGTTTAATTTGGGGCCGTGCTTATTTTTTTATTTTTAGATTTTCAGCTTCCGTTTGTGCACTTTAATAAAATGGTTCTTTGGATTCTTTTTGCTTTGGCTACTATTGGATGGTGGTGGAAAACTCATGATTTCTTAATGCGGTTATTTAAGGATTTGAACCAACAGAAAACAAAAAACTATCTATGATTAAACTGAAGTTTACCAAAGACCAATTATATTCGTTAACACTAATAATTCATCTTTTGCTATCATCAAATGCATATATATATATATATATATATATATATATATATATGGCCCCAAAGGCCCACATATTTTTGGTCTTAAAAAACCCAAATGAATACGTAACTAAAGTTTCGGTTTATTGGGTCTTGCGTTTGGCCCATTATTGAAATAAGACTCCGTTGTAGGCCGATTTGGCCATAGCATCGGTACGAGAATATACATACATATATATATATATGTGACATAATTATATTTATCTGACTAATTGATTCAAAATTATAGCTCATAAAATTAATAAATTATGTCTTCAAATCACAATTCAAACGCCACGGTTATTAGTGTCGGCCACATTTTTTTAAAATACTTTTGAATTTTCATAAATTTTAATCAATTAGTGTAATATTCAATTGGTCGGAGTGATTAATGTAAAAGATGGCAACTTTGTCCGCAAAGAACATATGATGACAGCCCGAAAACACTGTAATAAAAAGGAATGAGATATTTTATTTGCCCTAAAGATATATACCAAACAACTAAGCTTTCTTAGCTTTGTTTATAATTGGAATTAAATCATAACTAATAACTTATTCCATAATCACAAGACATGTTCTTTCATTCCTGGATCCATGTGATCTTTTTTTTTTTAATTTATCTTAAATAAATGGTTCATTTGGCGAACAACATGATTAAAAAAACAAATAAATATATATAACATGGGATACAAAGCATGTTTTCCATTCAATTAATAGTTAATTCTTGGATCTAGGCAGAGTAATTGATGCATGAATATAGCCTCAAAAGGTATTTTATTTTGAAGATCTAAAATTTAAAACATGAATCTGAAAATCTAGATTTTAAAACATGAATCGATCGGGTCCTAAAATACTTTTAAATGAAATGCTCAACGCCTTAACCATAAACTAATTAAGACACAAAGCACTCCTCATCCAACGTGGATCGCCACGTGAAAACGAATTTATGAATATGAAGAGCACCGCCAAGAAAAAGGCCAACGGAAGGGGAAAGCGCCACGTGGCTCATCAATATATATACACACACACACACGATCTTTCGACGAAAACTCAGAGTGAAAACGAGGTCTGAGCTTAAAAAAAAAACTCGAACAAGGAAGAAGAAGAAGAAGATGGCAAACGAATCTACAACGACATGCATAGACATTCTGGTCGCCATTCTCTTGCCTCCTCTCGGCGTCTTCCTCAAATACGGCTGCAAGGTACGGTCGCTTATACTCGGAAATCTATGCCAAAAAAAAAAATCATTTTTTTTATTCGTAAGGTCTATTCTCTGCATGACCCATTAAAGGTTTTCACTTTCTAGTTTATTTCTTCGTTATTTGGTTTTGACATATATATATATATATAGATATGTATGTATATGTGTATGTATGTGTGAATGGATGAGTTATATTGCAGGCGGAGTTTTGGATATGTCTGGTGCTTACACTCTTTGGGTACCTTCCTGGGATCATATATGCTGTTTACGCCATCACCAAGAACTGATCATCTCCATTCAAGGAACAGATGTGCGGCCATGAACATGTTGTTTTCCTCCGGATCAATCTTTACTTACGCTTCAATGTCTAGTTTACCCTTTGTTGTCGTTGAGTCAATGTTTCATTAATTGTTATTGCTAATCAAGTTTCCTTGAGATTTGAATCTTAGGACCACCACACTTACCAATACCCACATAATAATCATGTGTTTAACATCTCAATGGCCAATGCTTATCCAAATACACATTAAACTCAACCCATTGACGATAACCCTAAAAATATCACTCAACGTGTAAAACGAGAAGCACTAGTTACCTGTATTACACGAGGAGCTTCACCCCATCCATCCATCTCCAGGCAGCAGAACTTCAACTACTGTTTCATCAATATGTATAGCAGGTTGGTTAGAGAAACAGTTTCGAACATTCCGGGACATGAAAGATTCGATTCATTCACACTACTCGTTACGCGTCTCAATGATCCATACAACTCGAGGAATCAGCCAGCCAAACTCTGAGACTCTCGGATCAGATAATGTTGATAGGTACAGTACAGGCACGACACGAGGCCGGAACAACAAAAAAACTCCATTACTTACCCTTTGAATTGCCATTCTCTGCGGCACATGGGGCAGTGTGCTTGGCCCGTCTGCGAGTTCACCCATTTCAAAATACAGTGAAGATGAAAGGCATGGTTGCAAGCACCCCAAACTGCAAACAAAAAAAATTTACAGCAGGGGATCCATGTACGAATCAAATGAAGAACAGTCTTAAACAGGTAGATTCTCCCAAAACTCAGAAAAAGCTTAACACAGTTTCAGCACCAAATGATCTTATCTGACCGAGAGCTATATACAGCAGAAAAACGAGAAAGGAGGAAGCTTACTAAGAGGGCAGTCGTCCCCGGGAAGTTTACAGTCAGTACAACAACCGTCAAAGGCCATCCGGCATATCCCACACGTCTCGTCTTGGGCATCCCACGTCCATGACCCAACCGCTTGCCATCTGCAGCCCACAATGCGTTGCAATGAGAAAAATGAGTTTAAACTTTAAAGGAGCAACTCCATAACGTGAGAGTTTGATGTCGGAACTGCGATCGTGTAGTAGAAGAGACAGCAGATCATGAAGCAGAAAGGGACTCACTCTGTTCATTAACCCCATGAGAAACCCGTAGCATAGATGGTCAAGAAAACGCAAAAACAGATTCATCTGAAACGGTACTGAAAAAATTGCAAGAATATCGCACCCATACAGTCTAGCTTCTACACAAACAGAGAACTGATAACACAGATCCCTGACAATGACTTAAGAAACCCATCTTTATTCAATCAAACAAAATTGTATTCCGTATAAAGAAAGAGCAAAACGTGCTTGCTGGAGGGAGTACATTTCCAATCTTTTATGAGGCCATAGACAAAGAAAAATGGATTTTGGATGCTTAAACGCCAATTAACTACGTCTCACTACAGCTGCATCATGATTATCAATGATAAAGCCGAGTAAACGAAGAGAAGGATACGCAAGATCTTGACTTTCATAGCTTCCTCCTGAGAAAAATTGAAAAAAAGGAACGTATTCTTCCTATCAGATCAGACATGACATAAGTGAATACTAACATAGTTTCAGATGATTAAGCTGAATGATCAGATAAAAACCGTTAATTTCTAAGTATAAACCTAAATGGAATGTGAAACACAAGAAACCCATGACAAGAATGTACACCCAGAAACGAATTCTAACACTTCGTACCAGTGGGTGAGAAAGGAAAAGACCTTCTGCCATTGAAATTGTGGCTTAAAGTCAAAAGACATAAACTAAGCTCGTAAACAATGATAAGCCAAAACTACGAACCCGACTGAGATTTTATACGCCCGTTTCCCGAGAAACTGAAGTAGCATAACCACAACGGAACCAAAGGTTGACATTGAAATCCAAAAGAAAACAAAATAATCAGATGAACAAAAACCCAGAAACAGCGCATCGCCAACAATCTCCAATCGATCGGGAACCAACCAACTAGAAACGGGAAAAAGAATCCGAAAGGGGAAATGGGTTTAAAAGAAAATACCTAGAACCAACGGGAAGTTTCTCCCGCCAACACCGATTTGATGAAGTGATTACAACGGAACGGAACCCTAGAATCAATAGCGAAAAGGGTTTGCTGTAGAAGGAGGGAGAAAACAGAGGAGAGTGAAGAGTTTGAAAATCTCTTCTCAGATCGAAGAGAGGTTGGTTTCACGTAATTTTATGGGCTTAGGCCCAATTTGACAAACCAAATCCGGCCCATCAACGCTTTTTTTTTTCCCTCTCTCTCAAAAAATAGGTTGAAATTGTATATTACGCATCTTGAAATAAAAATCTCAATTTTAAGTTACACGAACTTATTTAACTGAAACATTTGGTTACAAATATGATGCTATTTTGGGATTGCGAATATATTCATGTACATTTTACAATTAAATTAACTGAGTTTTAAAATAAATTATAGTTGGATGGTATTCAGTTATAATAAAATTATGCATCGTTCATTGCATGTAGTAAACCTATTAATCCACGTGACATTCGAACTTTGGTCTCTCTCTCTACAAAATCTTCTGTCTTTATTTTTTTCTCTACCGGCAAAAGATTGTCAGCTTTCCTCATCTTTCTCCTCAACGAATCTTGGTGTGTCCATTGCACAAAATTTCCTTTATGCCAAGTCTCTGGCGGTCCATTCGCATAACGTATAGTCCCTTATTATTGTTGAAATGATTAATTTCAGGTGCAATGAGTGGTTGGTTATAATCCAAAGTTCATAAAATTCTATGGAATGAGTGTGGTGTCTTGTCCAATTTGACACAAAGATTTTGAAAGCCTAATTTAGTGGGCTTGACTTCAATTTGAATCAAATATCTGTCTCAAATCATGAAATCTCCCATCTCTTTTTGACTCTTATCATTACAAAACACGACACCACTCAACTTTGTCTTTCATTTTCTTGTAACTCTCAGGTATATATACATATGTTATATATATATATATGTAACCACTGTTTTATAGAATCTTAGACCGGATCTTGCTACAGTAATTAATGCCCAATATATTCGTAAAGATTATCTGCAATTGGAATAAAAACTTTTTGGCATAACCATGATAATATCCCAACATCTAATTAACAAATATGTCGTTATAAAAAATTATATGTTTTATGAATCAATATACGACAATAGAAATCTTTTTTTTTTTGTATTGATTCATGAAGAACATGTGGTTCTATTCAAATTTCTACCGACCAATTAATACCCAATTAATACCAAACGGAACTCGGTTTGGTTTTGTATTAATTAGCATCACAATTAAAATCACATTACATGAAAACAACAGCGATATGAATCATGGAAATACAAAGCGGTGAAAGAGAGAATACACAATGAATTCGACCTCCAAGAATGAAAACACTTCTCATCCATGAACTCTAAAGGTTTAAGCACCAGATTCCACACTTGCTTGTATTGGAATTCCGAAACCGGCAATTTGCATCGATGTCATTGAGAACTAAATGCAACAAAACAGGGAGACTAAGCATATGGGTATCTTTCTTTTTGTCCGTAAATTGAACCTTCTATTCTTTTTAATAACGTTTTTTTAGAGGTTATGGACAATGAGTGTGATCTCTACAAATAAACACAACCATAGTTGTTTTGCGTGGACCCATCTTGTGTATTATTCTGAGGACCAAGATTTTATTTTTTTACAAAGTAGGAATGCACATCCACTGTCTTCGGGTGCGCATGGGTAAAATATCATTTTCGTTGTAATAGAAAACAAATCACACCAGAGATATAAAACAATCTAAATTATCCATAATTGACAAGTTGAGAAGGCTAAGATGTTTCGAACGGTCGATTTTGAGGTCAAAGACCTAATATTCAACCAATGATTTTATAATTGTCATAAGAAAGTATAAAATTCACAGCACCCTCGAAATATTCGACCGGCTTTAGCATCTCCAATGGCTTGTCGTCAATTAGATTTTCTTGAGGGAGGACCATAACAAGTTTTTTTCTTGTTCGGGGGTCCATTTTCAGTGGCATTTTCCATGTCGAGAGCTCATGAGAATGAATGTTTTTTTCTCACTGCACATGCACATGCGTAAAATGAATAATAATAGATGGTACTCAAGTAAAGGAATATACAAAAGGGGAAGAGGGAAGGGCAATAAAACGAATAAATTAAAGATTCTGCAAATAGAAAAGGGGAACGCAAAATTCAAAGAAGGTTGAATTAGCTCCATTGGATTTTTGTTTTATGATTCTCAGTGCACATAAAACCTAAGGCTATATATTATTCACCACACTCTTTGGAAACTCTCTGAGATCATATCTCGAACCATCTAGTTCAAAATATAACGAAATTGTAATCAACACCCGGATTTTATATTTTGTTATTACGATAATTCTCCAAACCTATTAATCACTAACCGAGATATATAAATTTGTAGTGTTGATTGTGAAAAATAAAAATCAAGGCATCCTATAAAAAATAATCTTTTTATTGTCGAGTTTCGTGTATAATTAAAGATTGAATCTCTCGAATTCTTAGATCGAATATCTCAACTTCTAAAATCCGAACTCCGAACTCGTCTAAAATCTGAATTCAAACTTGTCATCAATAGGTCAAATTGAGTATACAAAAATCGGTTTCTTTTAGAACATAATGCAATGATAAAAAGGAGAAGACAAAATCCCAAGAGTTCACATGGTTCATCGTCTTCGTCTTTTAAACAAATTACAAGGGTTCGAATCCTAATATGGAAATAAAGTAATTTTGAAGCCAATCTTTTACTGTTTCGTGCGTTGATCCAAAGACGAACGGAAATTAAATGTGTCGGTTCACAATTCGTTTAGAATATCTGGTGATTAATAAAAAAAAAAAGACAAAGAAGAAAAAGAAGAAAGCAAAACAAGAGAGATGCTAAAAATAATGTTGGGAGGAGAAGACAAAGAACAAAACATAACAAGAGAAGAGATGCTAAAAAAAATAATGTTGGGAGAAAAAAAGGGAGCGACTGTAAGAGGCGAGGAACAGAGAAAGCGGTCGAATAAATGTACTCCCAAATGTACCTTTCTCCGATAATTATTACATATCTGTGTTCTTGGAAAGAAAAACCATGACCCCTCCCTTCATGGAAATATCTCACAGATGTATCCCAATTTTAGAATCTAAATATTTGTTTTTAACTAATCATTGTAATTATATTTTTATTTTAATTTAAGTTTGTCAATATATAAGACCATGTTTAATTTTAAAATGTTTAAACTAAAATACTGAAAATGAAACCGGTATATGTATACAATGATTTAAAAAGATATTTTTTTCGTCTTGATTTTTTGGTAGCTTTGATCATTCATATTGTTCATTACTAGTGTTGGTCATGGTACGTAAGAAGATAATTGCTTTATACATACAGTAACCACTGTTTTATAGAATCTTA